ATGATCTTTTTCAATACACTTCAGACTATAAAGTTATAATTTATTCCACGATCATTTATTCCATTATCGCTAAACATCATACATCGGTAGCTCGGTGGCTAATCTGAAGGACAGAGTGAATACTATGTACTCGAATCGTCACAAGAAAAACATCATCACCTATAAACTTTAAAGATCATTGGTAAGTAATACTTCACATTACAATATGGAGCGAAGTAACTTATGTTGGTAGCGAACAAACTTATTTGATGGGGCGATCAAACTTTTGCGTGAAGCGATCTAACTTTTGGTCGGAGGGATCTAACTGGGAGCGATCTAACCATGGTGCGATCTAACCGGATACCGGCACTCTACATGTATGCTAATAAGAGAGAAAAGTTATGCCAGGCTTATTTGTTTTTCCAACAGGATTAGTCTATTAGGAAAGAGTGGTTCCAAAACACTGAGCAACGATCTGGCAAATACTATCGGTAGGTGTGATTTTTGCTTCCAACGAAATGGTGTTGTTTAGAGTCCTAAACATCTGTGTACAAACTGGATTTATGTGGTAGTGCCTTACACCACTGGACAGCTGGTAGAATTTGGAGTCTTTGATCCAGTAGTAGTACGCCTCGTACCGTCCACAACAGTAAAATGCATTGTCATCTCTCCAGAACCCCTCCACTCGGGTCGACAGAGGTTTGGCGCAGCCCGCTCATTTTCGGATGTTGCCAGTTATTTTCTTTATAAGCAATGGGGCAGCCGGAGGAGGATCTTTTAGACGAACAGGTTTCCTGTTCACAACTGTTGTGGGGTTTACTGACTGGACCAAAAGTGCACTTGAACTGTTACTGATGCCTGTACGATCATTTCCAGTCTGCCGTGTTTCCACCTCTTCACCTAAATTCTTCCGTTTGAACCCGGCTACTGGTTTCTTCTTTCCGACTGAAGACGAGACTGTGGAGGTGCTTGTGCTATACACATTTCTACCCATGTAAGTTTCTAACACTCTGGACTAAGTACCCGTCTTCCATGCTACAGCTACAGTGTGGCAGCAGATATTGTTACAGCTGTAAAAACACATTCGCATGAACACTTTCCACTCTTGAGACACGCCACTGTCTATGGAGTAGTATTTGGTTGGGGTCTTCTGCTACTTACGAGAAATGCTCCCTGTTGGAAACCATCTCGTGTGGCTTCATCATGTACCAACGCAGCAGACTTTGCAGACAAACCTTAGTATCTTTAAGGCGTTCTAGATCCTTCTTTGATGGTAAAGGAGGGTCCATCTGTGAGTTTTGGGGCTCAATCGATGCACTTCGGGTATGACCAGTTTAGAACTTAAACCGTTTGCATCTATGAAAAGCGGCTGAGTCGGGGCACAGCTTGGAAAGGCATCATAGTGCAACTTTTCTTTCGTCTGGTGTCATTTGCAAGTGACTTTTCGGAGGGAAGCGATCCTTAAATTCCTCTTTAACTGCCCACTTATCTGATAGTCCAAACCAAGTCAGCTCTTCCTCGGTTTGAAATGATTGAACCAGGTCTAGAGGGGAAATATTAAACCTGTCTATTTCACTTGGCAGAAAATTCACTCAATCTTTGATCATAAAGTTTACGGACTCTGGAATATTCTGGTGTGACGATAAAGTTTTCGTGGGCTAAACTGGACTTTCGCGGGAACGTACAAACGGGGGAAAATAACTCAGTAGAGATCACTCGGCTTGCGAGAAAGGAAACTCGTCACGATTTCCTGGCACACGGAGGCCCACTTCTAGTAAGCTTGTACGGACGTCAAGGAGGAGACAGCGTTTTGGTTCCACAGTAGACTTTTATTCTAGGTCAGGTCAACAAGCGACATGACCTCTAGCGTACTCAAGTTTGTAATCATCAAAGCTGTACAAGGTACTTGCTTAAGAACTAACTGGTGTGAGGTGCTATTGTTACACAAATCGCAATATTTGAATAAGGACACAAAGGAGCGGAAAAAGTCTGTTTGGAGTTAAACGAAAACTACTTAGATATTCCATCTGTTTCTACGACGAAAATAATCTCAAAATTAAAAGGACGGATACAATAAACTCGAGGCCATTAAAGTAGGAAACTTAGGTGCGAATTCACAGTTCTGGTATAGAAAATAATACCTATCTCAATTGCAGCAGAGCAGCTCAGGAAACAAAAAGGGAAAAGCAATTAAAAGTTTCTGCTTATCTACGCAAGGTTGGTGTGGAAACTGTCGTATGAAAAAAATGTAAAGTTACGAGTATAAACTCAGCTGCTATCTACCATGAAAACCAATGTTTCCAGAAAGACCATTAACACTTATATTTACCTAAAAAAACTAGTAATAAATAACAAAAGTGCCGACAGGCAGGTGCATATGATGAAAGCGATTAACAACAAAAATCTATTCCAAAAGCTACTGTGGTTTTTATACATTTTTTGATTTACTGAAATGAAAGGACTGGGAATGGTTAAATGTGAAAGTTTACGAATAAATATGTTCCGAATAACGACCACACTGAAAAATCAGTACATTTTCCCGTAACACTGGCTGTAGGGATCTTCGTCTAGTTGTTGCACTACAGAACTAAATGTTTTGTTTTTCAGATCATGGAAATATTGATTCTCAAAATACAGTGAAAATTGCGGCTTTCTGTGACGCTCAGTGCCTTCAAAGTCTTCCCATTTCTTCATCAGACTGTTGACTCGTTCTTGGGACTGAAAGGATTCTTTCCAGAGCGGATCCTTGGGCTTTGAAAAGATGTCTCGCAAAATTTCTTCTCTTGTCTTGTTTGACAGACCAAGCTTCTGGAGTTTAAGCGAAATGTTCATCTTAAGAGCTGATGTCAACATGCATCAGACAAACAGCGGCAAGTCATCCACTTTCACTCCTACTTTCATATTTTGTAGCCCAATATGTCCTGATAATTGGGGGGACCAACACAAATGAATATTTACCCTGTATGAAGATTTTTTTTTGTAATGAATTGACAATACTACAATATGTTGCTTTTGTGGTCACTAATCGTTGTTTCAGTGGCAGCGTAGGAGTTAAAAGCGGGTTGTTGCTTCAACGCTTTTTAGTGTTCTGGCAGGAGAGCAAAGCGTGATGCTCTGGGAATAAAAACTCTTAGGGGCCTTTTACATGATATCGGAATGAGTTCTGTTCAAGAACGAGTTCATCCCGGTTGCCACATGATACCAGTGTAAAACTATTCGAAACGAGTCATTTCTGAATGAGTTTATTGAGGATTTCATTCCAGAACGAAACACTTATTCTGGACGACCTTTTGTACCTGTATAAA